TGGGGGGGGGGGGAGTCATTAGCTAATTGAATTTTAAGCAGTTTTAGCATACAATTGGGGCCTCATTTGAAAGTTGAAAATGAGCTTGTTCAGTAATTTGTAATTCTTGCATTTTTGAAAACTAGAGAGAACACATAGTTCACAGGAATTTTCCCCGATTTTTTTGAGGAATATGAAGCCACGAAATACGAGTTCAAAGTTCTGTATTTTGAGCTCCCATTTAAATGCGCGTCGCTCGTGTGATCCAAGATGGCGACCATTCTATCCGTCCGGATATCGGCAAACTTTTGAGCCCCCTCTACCTCCCTTGCTTCTGCTCTCTTGGACTACCACACACGGCAGAGGGAGCTCCCCGAGCTCGCGAGCTTAAAAGTGTGCCCATCGCTGGACGGAAAGAATGGACGCCATCTTGGATCACCCGAGTGACGCGCGTTTAAATGGGAGCTCAAAATATGAAACTTTGAACTCATATTTCGTCTCTTCATATTCCTCAAGAAAATCGGGAACTATGTGTACTCTCTAGTTTTCAAAAATGAAAGAATTACAAATTACTGAACAAGCCCATTGGCGAGTTGTACCTCTTTCGGCGCAATTTTATTTTAGTACTAGTCGTGATTAGCTCGCTTTGCGAGCTGACACGTCTAGCCGGGGAGTGCCCCTGGACCCCAGTTCTACGCTTCGCGACGAACTTGCGACTCGCTCCGCGAGTCGCCACCGCCCCGCACAGTTTTTAACATTAATGAGGAGACAACATCTATGTCTTAATCTTCTTTTTCACCAATTTTTACAGAAATTGATGTTCTAGGAGTCCGGACCGCGTTTTCGTGCAGGGCCGCCATCTTGGATTTGGAAATGTTGAAAATCTGACCAAAAATTCGTGTTTCTCGTCGAAAAATACCCCTGGATACCGAGTTTCACGAAAATCGATATAACAGGAGCCGACTTAGCATTTTAGGCCACGGCCGCCATCTTGGATTTTGAAATTTTGAAAATCTGACCAAAAATTCGAGTTTCCCGTCGAAAAGTACCCCCGGATACCGAGTTTCACGAAAATCGATATAACAGGAGCCGACTTAGCATTTTAGGCCACGGCCGCCATCTTGGATTTTGAGATTTTGAAAATCCGACCAAAAATTCGAGATCCCCCAAGAAAAATACCCCCGCTTACCAATTTCCACAAACATTCGTCGAAAAATACCTCCTAAAACCTTAAATTTCGTCTATAAGGCAGTGACGTCACGCAACAGGATTGAACCTGTTCGGCGCGATGCGCGTAAACAACCGCGTATCTCCAATGTAATACTATATGGAGAAATAACTTTTCGCTCTTGCGGGCATCCGAGGCAGCGGATTTGAATGGGAATAATTTTAATCAACTCCTCATTACAATAGCTAAGCGTGTACCAATTTTAAAGGAAATCGCTTCGGCCAATTTTTCTCTAGGGGGGGCAGAGTGAGTGGGAACAGCAGCTTTATATAGAGTAATAATATGGATTAGCTATTTATCTCTGCGGTGCGGTGTTGAGTAACCTTTGGTTATATAGTTCTGTCTTGAAACCATTTCAGTAAATTTTTAGGAGCACTCTTTTTTTCTCTCTTTTCCCCCATTTTCCCCTCTTTTCCTTTTCTTGTTTTGCCTTTTTTGGCCTGAGGGGGGGGAGGGGGGACACGCCACCATGCCCCCTGGATCTGCCACTGCAATAACATACAAGGGAGGATTATTTCAAGTAACCGTTGAATTATTTTGCCCCTCAAAACCAACTGGTCTTGTGCCAAAGTGCAGTGAATAAAATCATACCTTTGTAACATTCAAGTAGTGTAGACGAATTTATAACTTTTCTTTAGATTTTGAACTTTATCCCCCTCCACCTCAAGCTATACCTCTTTTTTTTCTTTTCTTTTTCAGCTAACATTCTGCAAACCTTAAGAGAGAAAGGCAATGTGTTGGTAGCAGTTGATACTGCTGGTCGCGTATTGGAATTAGCGCATATGCTTGATCAATTGTGGCGCAATGCAGAATCTGGTCTTGTCGGCTTCTCATTGGTACTTCTGAATAATGTGTGTTATAATGTGATAGAATTTGCTAAATCTCAGGTGATGCATTTTCCTCTCTATTTTTTTAAATTTTACCTTAGTCTTCCATTTCATTTGTGAGTAGAATTAAAAAAAATGTATATATTACATTTCTCCTCTGAAAGACTTAAATTTCAAAATTTTTGAGATCTTACCAAAGCTCAGGATATGATTTGCTGAGACCTTTTTATCAGTTCTCTAACTGGCTGTATTGTAGAGAATATTATGAAAAGTCTTGTACATAGTCTTCCATGTTAAACAACCCAGTACTTTTCGAATTTTGTCAGTTACAGTGCTTAATGACTTCTCAAATGGCATTATAAGGTCATAGTTTCATCAGTTATTTTTGTTTGATGTTATTAGTCCTTTTTATGTCTCAAGATATAGTTTAATACTAGCTGTCACGCTCACCTGGAACGGCTAGCCAGGGGGCTAGCTAGCCCCATCACTCACTTTGCTTTGAGAGTGTCAAAGAGCGCTGTGAAAGCGGCTTTTTTGTAAGTATGTAGAGGAACAGTTATTGGTTATTAATTTGCCTAATTTTTAGATAAAAGTACTTACCTTCGTTTTTTTCTCCTTTTGTTTCTCTCTTTCATCAGATTGAATGGATGAGTGAAAAGCTCATGAGGTCCTTTGAGGGCCTTAGAAGTAATCCTTGTCAATTCAAACATCTAAGGCTGTGTCATAGTCTGATGGAACTAAACAAAGTCCCTAGTCCGAAAGTAGTTCTTGCAAGTACACCTGATATGGAATCTGGATTCTCCAGAGAACTCTTTTTACAATGGTGTGCAAACCCTAGTAATAGCATTATCTTAACATCCAGGTATGTATGTTTGCAATGTGCTAAAGCCAGTATTTTTGCTCAATTTTCCTGTTACGTTGACTATTTTAAGGATGTGAGTGGATTCCCTTCCTCTGCAGATTGAACCAAAAAACAGGGTAGCTTTAATGTCATGTTATTAGGATTTTTCATTAATAACAGGTCAACAGGCGAAGTGCCAAAAAGTTTATCTCGAGTCATTAATATTTTTAACTCTGACGACTGCCATGGCCCATACCACTAACGCTGTCTTTCAGATGTTATCCCCAGAGTTGATGTCGCTTACAATTAGTCTGTTCTAGTTATGTAAGTGGCATATTTTCCTTGGTGCTTGGAATGAAATGCAGCTTCCAACTCGCTTTTTGATTTTTTGGCACGTAGCCTGTTTTTTATGGTAATTCTTCATGTATTATAAACTCTAAAATTTGTCCCTCCTGAAACTGTCTGTTATTGGTCATTACAACAACACTGCTGATTTAAAAATATTCCAATTGAGACAAGACTCATGCAAGACACAATATTCTTCCTCTTTCCTATTTGAAATGTTCGAAGACATGAAAAAAAGAAAAAGAAAGAAAAAATTGAGCAGCACCAGAGTAGCATTTTGCTAAGAAAATTTTGTTCGACTGTCTTCACTTTGAGTATTGATACTCTGCACTTATGAATATTGCATAGATGTTTGTTACTAGTTACAAAGAATTTACAAACAACAGTACAAATGATACAATGGGCTACCAAACAAGGTATGAAGTAGAAAAATTTTTTCTCTTCAGAATCTCACTAAGAGAACGTTCACACAACGGGACGTTCAAAAATCAATTCCTGAAGAAGAGATTAATGAATATTTAAACACAGATCAAATGGTATGGATTATATTAATGATGTCATTTTGATATTTTCCATTTACCCAGTATCAATCGTAAACTCTTTTATTTTATTTCGGAGTTGATTTCTAGACGTTTGTTTCCATTTCCCATGATTAATTCTCAAAATGGATTTGATTTTTTCTTTTTTGCAGAACTTCACCTGGAACGTTAGCTAGGAAGTTAATTGACTTACATCAAACTGGTAAAAGGTCCTTTTCTCTGCAAATCAAGAAAAGGGTTCGCTTAGAAGGTGCAGAATTAGACGCGTATTTAAGGAAACAAGCTAAACATCAAACAAAGCCTCAGTAAGTTTGTTCTCCTCTCAATAAATATTTTTTCAAGTCCTACTCAGCTTTCTTAAGCCAGAGGAAGACAAGTTTTTAAAATGAAAAAATAAGTCAACCTATTGTTTCTTTGTGTCCACCCGGATATAAGTAGAATGAAGCCCACTGTGTGTTCTCCCGACGGTTTTAATTTTAGTAATAAGAATATAATATTTCCAACCTCCAGATGGGCATAAGCCAAAGACATTGAATCACGTAGACCGTGCGTTTGGCTCGGTTTAGTACTGGCGGAGCGAGGCAAGTCTCTCGGAGCCCCATGATGGGCGGGCAGGGAAGGGGAGAGAGTGTGTGTCCCATGCTCTCGAAGAGGCAATGGAGAATTCATGCCCGCGCTCGGTTTTTCACGAATATCTCGTTCAGAGTCCATTTTTAGACAAAATTCCTAAGAAGAAGAATTATAGAACACATAATTTTGCACCCGATTAGCATTGTTTCATTTTTCCGAACTAATTATTAACCGAGGAAAAAAGCCTCACAATCCGACGAAAATTCACTGGAGCCGCTACTGCGCATGCGCAGATGTGCGCAACTGGGACACACGAACTCATCGATGCGGGTCGGTGCCCACCACTCATCGCATGCGAATTTTTCAAAGTTGTCTCGCCTTCTGTAACACAGGATGCACAGTCTACGTGATTCAATTTCTTTGGCATAAGCTCAAGTATTTGGGTTAAATTTTGCAGAGTGAACAAACTGCCTCAATTTGGCAAGCAGTTGCTTGGCAGGAATCTTGTTCCAGGGCTCATTTACTGATTAGAAAAAGGGAAAGACTGCAATTTTTCATTGAATTTCTGTATGTGTTCCTGATTCTGCATCCAATGAAGTAGTACGTATATGTTCTAGGGAAACAGTCGTAAGTTCAGACTCAGAAGATGATCAGCCCATAAGTGGAGAAAGGGATGGAAGGAGGGATAGTCTTGGCTCAGAGAAAATTCAGGAGAGCTTCGTCAAAACAACTAAGAAGCAATACCCAATGTTTCCATACCACGAAGAGAAATTAAAATATGATGATTATGGTGAAATTGTCAAGTGAGTTAGCCATTATATTCATTCAGCTTCCTCATTAAATATTAATCTTGAATATCAACCCATCATTGCCTCATTGGGTTAATATTCTGATCATGTCTCTAAGGTCCCCTTCTCATGCATCTTTCTTTATTTCTTTTCCGTTTTTCCAATTTCACTACTTACATATATAAAATGTTTCCGTTTTTCTTTTCCTTCCAAAATGATTAACTTTATACCTAATCCAACCCTCTGCAATTGCATCTTTAAATTAATAAATATCCATGGCCCAAGTGCCAAACCACGTATCTTTGTTTGCGGCATTGCAACGTTTCCTGTCATACTTTGTTTCTTCTTTGAAAAACTAATGATCCTAATCTCTTGAAAACTCCCTTGATTTTTCTTCTCTTTTAGTGAAATATTCTGTATTAATTTCAAGCTAAGTATTTAATTTTTTCTCCTCCAAAAATTAAATAGAACAATTTTTGAAACACCGCTATACAGATTTGTGGTTTCATATTTTTGCCTTTGATTTGTAATAATGTCCTCCTCGGTAACAATAATTTTCACCTTATTGATCTTGTTGATTCTTTTTATCTGTTTCCCTTAACTTCGATCATTTTATGGGGTATTTTTCAGATTAGACCTGTACAAGATGAATGACACCAAAACTAATGTTGACGATGAAGCAAATCAGGAAGAAGAGGAAACTTTAGGTGAAATTCCAAACATTTTCTATCTATTTATTAATGAATTTATTTTGAAAAATCTGTATCCCAATAAAACTTTGGATTTCGTATGAACATGTGTACCAAAATCGAGAAAAAAAATGGGGAAAAATTTAAAATTACAAATCCATGCAACTGGAGTTTTTAGACAAATGTCTCTGGATATCTTGAATTTGATGGATGTTTTGAAACTGTTTCGTTCATGATTACATGAGTTTTACAAACTGCAATTTTTAGTGTACTCATTAAAATTCAGACATCACTCTTAACTTTCAGTTACGTTGAAAGTGGTATTTAATCGGTTTCGGATGGTGTGCTCCTCAGTCTGAGGAAAGGCCTAAATGAGGGGCAACCCTACATCTGTCTGCTGAAAATTCAATGATAGCACAAGTTATGAGTAAAAACTCAATTTTGACTCTGTGTATATTATGTTCCTGTAACTGTGTTGATTCTTATCTAGTTTCTCTCTTCCTGTTACAGAGGATATTCATGAAGTTCCTTCAAAATGTATCCAGTACAGTAGAACAGTCAATGTGCTTTGTCAGATAGAGTATATAGATTTTGAAGGTCGTTCCGATGGAGAATCTCTGACAAAAATTATCGGACAGTTACGACCGAGGCGCTTAATTCTTGTCAGAGGTTTGCCTGAAAACATAAGTCATGTTGCAAACCATGCCAAAACATACCTCAAAGAAACTGCAGTTTATATTCCTACCAAAGGAGAAATGCTCGACGTAACTACAGAGAGTCATATTTACCAGGTGCCATATATTTTTAATGAATATTTCTATTTCTTTCTTCATTAATTTTTTTCTATACATTTTGATTTTAATACAAATGAAAAAGAACTTAGTACCTAATAATAGGTGAGAGGTGTCATCACAGATTGTCGAGTCATTGTGTTTCAAATACCTTCTGTAAGATTTATTTATTTTCAATACAATGCAAATAAAAGTAGCCTTGATACCTTTTATTTTATTCGTTTGAAATTATCTTAGAAGCTTTTCAATCGGTTGGATCATCAGGCACGAAACCAAAGCACCACAAAATTAGAAAATGAATGCATGCCTAGCAACCAACTACATTCTACATGCTTTGTTGCCATGCATGTTTTCGTTTCCTTTTGTAGTGCTCTGGTTTTGTGCCTGATGATGATGATTCAACGGATTGAAAAGCTTTGCAGATAATTTGAAACAAGTGAAACAACAGGTGTCAAGGCTACTCTTACTGACATTATTAATTAATGGATACCTCTACCAATGTGTTTTAACCTTTTTTTTTTTCTTTCTTTCTTTGGAAGATTTCATTATCCCATTTCACGCTCATGAAAGATTTTTGCACAAGTCAGACTTTTAACAGGTCAGCAGGAATACTATCTGAAAACATATATCACTGTTTTAAACTGAAGATTCCTTAATTTTTTATTACTGATACTGATATGCCTGAATATCTATTAAGTAAAGGTTGACTGCTAATTACGTGGTACATACTTAAGGGTCGCCGGCTGCGGCGTTCTGGAAAACTGGGAAAGTCAGGGAATTTTCGGCAACCAGGAAAAGTCTGGGAATAACTAACTCATGTACTAATCACTGAAACATATCACTAATCTTCCAAATGTTTACTCTATCTGGTCATTTTCAAGGCTTGTCATCTTTCAATCAGCTACACAATGCTTTTTTCCTCAATTTGATGTCCAAACAAGGAAATTTTGTCCAAAGTTTAGCAGAAGTCAGCTTAAATAAAAAGAAAAGAAAAAAAAATAGGTAGACATTTTGTTTGACGATAAAGGAAAGTAAGAAAATTAGGAAATTGTAAGTCCAGGAAAAGCAAAGTAAGTAAGCTAAAAGTCAGAGAATCTGAAGATGAAGAAATTATGGCAAACTTGTAATTCATCATCTCTTTTTTTAAAGGATTCACAGTAAATAATGGTCATTTTCTTTTTTTTCTTTTTTTTTTTAGATTCGGTTAACAGATGCGTTAGTCTCAAGTTTAGAATTCCAAAAAGGGAAAGATGCAGAGTTATCTTGGATTGATGCTCGTGTGACAGAACGGGAAAACTTGAATGAAAAAAGTATGCAAGTTGATGAAGAATCTACAGGTATTAATTTTTTTTCCAACCTCTCTCTTCATCTTTCATATTTTATTCAATTTTTAAGTGAAGTTTCTTGCAAAATCAACACCAAAAATTGATGTTATCTCTGAGACACAGAGCTGGATTTAGGTTTTTGCTGCTTGGTGCCAAAAAAATTTTGCCGCCTCCTCCCCCCCAGATATATGGTGACGGACTAGGATTTGATACCTAGGGATTTTTTTGATGAGATAAAAATAAGTAAAAATCGACCCTTTTACCCTCAATTTTACCTTCGACTCACTAGAAAGTATTTTTCATCTATATTTTGTAGGCCTTATTGGCAACACTATTTTTCCCCGATAGTAGACCGGAACATATAACGATTGCATCACTCGATATATTTGACAGTTCAACGGAATAATAATAATGATTAAAAAAAAAAAAAAAACAACCCTCCTCAACTAATATTCTTCCATTTCATTTGTCCGTTTAACGCTTTCATAGGGCAGCAAAATTCAAACAAGCCAATCAGATTTAACAATTGCAAATTGGCACATCAATTAATGACATAATTCTACGATGAAAATGGCGGGTTTTTTTTTGCAATATGTAGGGATTTTTTGGGGATATTTGAGCAAGGCTGAGGATTTAGGGATTTATAGCGAAATCTAGGGATTTTTGTCTTCCTGGCTGGAGATCTTATATTGAATCCATAATATAATACCTTAATCTTGATCAATTTAATATCTTATAGATTCACAAGATGCCAATGCGCACGAAGTATAAGTTTCGGAAACATGGCAAAAGCGCAATCCGATTCTGCGATAGTGAGAAGGATGCGCATCTGTGAAGGAAAGTGTTGCAAACAAATATTTAAGGAGGGGGAAATGATTCTTCAAGAAACAAGGATTTGTGACTTGTAAAAGGCGGACATGAAACATAAACTTCGTTTTTCTAAAAAAAAATCCGAAATTTGCCGCTACCTAAAATTTGCTGCCCGGTGCAATGGTACCATGGGCCCCTCCATAAATCCGGCTCTGCTGAGACAACATCTCATGCTTTCGCATTATTCATTATGTTTAATTTTTTTTTTAAAAAAAAGAAGGACCAGAAAATGAGAGTGTCTATAACTATAATGAACCCTATCATTACCAGGCCAGATTCTGCATGCCGATCAATATTTTATAAATAACCACATAGTTTTTTCGTGCCTAATTTACTTGTTGTTTTGTGCTGAGATTGCTATTTGGGAAGTAATGAGGTAGGGACATCTACTAAACATTACGTAATTCTTTATGAGGGGTCCAAGGCTACTCGCCATAAGAGGAGGGGGTCAAAAAAACAGAAAAAATGTGTTGCGTGTATAAGTATGTTCCCCTAACAGAAGTCAAGGCCGATTACATTTTTCAGGTGCTTTAATCGGCCAGTACTCTTCAGGTATTTTAGATACATTTTGTTGCGTCTAAAGCGCGCCAAGTAAAGTTGAAAAACTGCTTTTTAATTATCTTCGTAACTTTTTCTCACAATTAAGTCTCCTCATTTCTTAAATAATATGTTTTTCTTTTCTAGGAATTGAGCTTAATAAAATGTACACCTTGGATATCCTTCCTCCAAATGAGGTAAGCCCTCTACTCATTCAAATTTAGTCAGTGTGTATGACCCTTTGTAATTTTTTATATAATTTTTCTATTTGTTAAAGTCATTTCATTGCTGGCAATGCATATTGCACATAAGTTGAAATTCAAAAAATATTTCCCAGGAATATCATAATTTCTCAAGAGTTACTTGTGTTTTTTGCACAAATACAGCTTCCCCTGCCCTCTGCGTTTCGTTCATTTTCCAAAGCCAATTACAGGGTTTCCAGCGGTCTGAAATCCTGGAAAGTCGGGGCATTTACAGCGACTTAGAACAGTCAGAGAAAGTCTGGGAATTTTAAGTGCGCCAGCTGGTGCTATTCAAGAGAGCTCAAACAGCTTAACTGGAGAATTCCTTTTTCATTTATTTGAATCTCTAGAGATGGATATTTTGTCCAAAGTGCATGAAAATTCAGCATTATCCAAAAAAAAAAAAAAAAAAAAAAAAAAACCAAGCAAAGGTATTGTTGGAAAGTCTGGGAACAATAGTGAATATGGAAAATTTGGAACAAGGGAAAGAAAAAAAAAGTCCTGGTTCGGGAAATTGAAAAATGAAGAAATTATAGAAATCCTGCCGGAAACAAGCCTTGGATTTGAACGCATAATTGCTCAGTAAAAAATGTGCGCATGGTAATGGCTTTAATTGAAAGTTGTCGTATTACTCATTTTTTTTCTGTTGTACTTGATGAAATTCTTGGTCCTCATATTGTCGCTCCCTTTTCAGTGAGTTCTATACATTTCTGTATGCTGTGAGCTACATGTGTCTGTCTTTACATTATTTTACAGGAAGTTGGCCATGTTTCCTCCTTTGTGAACGAAATCAAGTTATCTGATTTCAAGCAAGTGTTGACCAAGCACAATATTTCTGCAGAATTCTCTGGTGGTACTCTGTGGTGTTGCAATGGTACAGTTGCAGTCAGACGGGTAAATTCTTTCTTCCTTTTTTTTTGTTTTGCTTCAAAGAGTTTTATCTCAAACTGGAATCTCCCAGCTCCCCATCTGTTGTAGGTTTCATTTAAATAGGTATGTAAATAATATTGATCGTTTTCAAGAAGGAAAAATTTTATGAATTGGTGTCTCAATACATGAAAAGTTAAGTGATTAACTGAACACTAGTACTTGTTAGGGTGTTTAATTCAAGACAAAACTCAGGCGCCCGCTGAGTCCAGACTTGTGGCAATAGACAACCTGGACAGGAATGTAAATAGTTCTCAACTGTGCGACAGACCAAATTGGACTCTGACAAATGTTTTTTTTCTTTCTTTGGTTGCAATTATAATCTCCTGCAAATATGCACTTTATGCAAGTATCTGATCGAAAATTGCAAAGAAATAAAAAAAATTTACAGAATTTAGATCAGTGCGTTGTGTTGAGCCTTTCTTTCATTTTTTAGTAAACATTCATAAACTCTTAACTTACTTTTTTGTTCACAGCCTGAGGGAGGTAAAGTATCTTTGGAGGGAATTTTATGCGATGACTTCTTCAAAATACGCCATCTTTTATACTCTCAGTATGCTATCATTTAACTCAGTGAATACCACCCGCTATTTTTACGATGTTTCATCTGTAACGGTTATGCAAAATGAGCTTTGAAGCATAATCCTTACATCACAGCCAAATAACACATGGAAATGGTACCAAGTTACTTAATACTCGATTGAAACGATAGATAAGAACTGAAAGGATTGAATAAACTCCTATGAGATGGTTTCTACACTTTAAAATTCAATCACCCTAATAGATTATTTAGCTGTTGAGGATTCAACTCTCTGGAATTGCTCCCAGCTATGTGGAAAAAGAAAGGAATGAAAGGCATAGGTCGTATCCACATGAATGGTTGCCTTGAATGTTGCTTGTTTAGCTCACTACCAGAAATTAAAACTCAGCATAGCATCATCACATCGTACATTGACTCTGGGATTGTGCAGGTGATGTCAGCGGATCCTTTTTTTCATAAAGCAGTTCTCAAAGAAAGTTGCTTTCGCATCAAGTCCTTTGTTCTTCTTAATTGCTCTTTTTTTCCTGAATTTTGTGTCAACTCTGTTCTCAGCTGCATGGTTGTCCTCTATTCCAAGTGTTTACACTTCTCAAATTATTTACAATCTAGGACCTTCTTATTTTGGTGATCTGATACTGAAGTAAGATGCAAAATCTTTTGTGCCTAGCTTCTTGAGCTTAGAAGTAAAATTCAAAGAAATTATTGTCTCTCAGCTTTCATTTGAGATTCTTTAAATAGGACTTGGCTCAACTAGAATATCTAGCTCTAAGTGTTAATCAGCTTGATGTAAATAAGAATGCGTGCAGATTTTTTATACTTGTAAAAAGATAGTGTAAATAGTTGTGGAAATGACCTACTCCATTCCTTTATTTTAATAATAAATGTATATTATTAAAATTACGGCTTTCTCATTTTCTTTTAAATCCTAGCATACACACCCTTATATAAACAATTTAGCGAAGAAAACGACTGCAAATTAAACTACTTGAAATGAGAAAAAATTACTTTCATTTCAAAATAAATTTCAACTCTAAAAAAAGGCTCTTCAGCCAATTAAGGACAATAAATAAAAATTGGCTCCCTTGAAATGTTAACCAGTCTATGTATAAAATTACCCTTAAAGAAATTTGCTTTTTGTGAAATTTGCAGCAGTTAGAGAGTTTATAACATGTACTTTTCGACTGTCCTGTGTATAATGACGGCAGGAACTTCTTTTTTAGAAGATAATACAAAGAAAGAATATATTTCAGCCATATTTCTATTTCTATCTGCTATGCGGCAATGGAGTCAAACGCTCAATGAACCTACCTGCTTTTAAGTATATACTTAACCACTGTTTAGTATCTTATAAGTTTTAGATTTTTAATTTATAAAAACTTTTAAAGTTTTTAATTCTACCTAAAGATGTTATAGGTATCGACGGCGCGGAAGTCAGCAATCACATATCTTGTTTGCGGTGTCTAAAAATCTCCGCCTTTATTTTATTTGTTAAAGGAGAACAAATTGACATCATTCCTTGAAGTGTTTGCAGAATTTTCTTTGCACAGAGAAGAAAAAGCACAGCAGTTTTAAATAATTACTGTCAAGTAATTTTCCGGTTAAAAAATAGAGTATGACAGGAAGTCTGCAACTTTGCAAACCGAGTTATGTGATTGCCGACTTACACTGTTGAATGTTTTACATAAGTTCATAAATATAAAATTCCTGTTACTTTATGAATCTGAAAGGGTACCTACCTAAGAATAAAGTGTAATTTCTATCTTTATCTCACAAAGCTACTGAGCTTTCAGGTTTCTGTTTTTTCATGTGTTGTACCTAAGAGCGCCTTTGTCTCTTGTAGACGTGTTTGAGGAGTGAATTGCAGCAGTGATTTGCTGCAATGAACTTTAGGCCCCTAGAAACATTGAGGCATACAACGACATTGACATAGTAAATTGGACTTCGAAGACTGATCAGTTCATTTGTTGGTGGACAGTAATTCATTTTCTGAGACGCAAAATTTTAGCCGATCGTTGAAGTGGAGATCAGCAGGCATAATTTTCAATAAATTTAGCATCAATGAGTTTTTGCAGTTACATTCTTATATTATCGCCGCGTTGATGTATGATGTATTTTATTTATAAAAACCGCCATTCCCCGTTTGGCCAATCGGAGTTTATTTACAAATAACAGCTGATCAAAGATAATTGTAACAGCATGGATGAATATATACTAATGTAATATCTTCGTCCATGGTAACTGGGAGATGCAGTTTTGGCGGGGTAACCTGGACCTATTAGGGGGCACATGCGCCTGGCGGGTAGGCAGCGTGTTTTACACGTTGAGTAAATTTCCCATAACAAATAATGCTAACATGCCAACAAGAGTTTGCCAACGTGTAAAATAAGCTGCCTACCCATCAGGCGCATGCACTAACAAGTAGAGTCCAAAGGCCCATATTGCATGTCTAACCGTTACAATATCTTTGCAGCTGATTATCGGGAATGGCAGCTAGAAAACTTAAAATGCACTACAATTGTTATTGTTATTTTCAAAGAAACCGAGACAAATTCTTCGAACCTCAGGAGTTTCATATTTGAAATAATTGATTTTACTTCATTAACTTTCATTGTATATACTCGAAGGAAGTGTCTGCGAAAATACTTTCTGTGGTTTTCATGCAAATGTTCATGTGAGTGAACCTAGTGAAACAAAAAGTCATGTTGGTAAAGGGTGTTAGTGTAATCAACAAAATCTCCTAACCTTACCTATACAGCCAAACTCTGGACAACTTCTTTGTTTTAATCAGTTAAGTTTTTGTAGAATATTTTTATTTTAACTGCCTCCTTTGTAAAATTTCTCTTTCATAATGACTAATTCAAGTTCTAGTTGTAGCTCTGTTCCACTGGATTTCAATTTGTCCTGTGCCTCCTCGCTGGAAACTCCTGTCAAAAGCAGTCTAAATTGGAACCTGTGCCCCCTGTGCTTTAGATCCAACAAGGTTTTCTACTGCAAATCTTGTATAAATAACGGGGACTTCATCCATTCCACAATCAGTTCGGCAGAAAGGTAGGTTTATTTTTTTATTTTTCGCCTCTAGGTCAATTCAGTGAAGCAGAACATTTCTGCATTCATGGTTCGGACTTCACTTTAAACGCCACCAACGATTTCAGCGCTCCTTTATTCTATTTTTGCTATCTCAATTGCATAGAGTATATAGTCATAATGTAAATGGGAGAGCTGGCGCCATATCCTGGTTGACAAGTTCCGAGCCGGGTGTGTGCGGAGCTTTGGTCACTTTTCCGATACATTTTCTATCCAGAATGACGATGTAGCATACTTACGCAATAATTCATATCCTCTTTGTTTATATTGGATGGCTGGGTTCTTGTGTATGAAAAAGTATATCTGTATTGAAAGCAATCAATTATGTATCAAAAACCATTGATTATGTATCGTAAACAATCAATTGTGTATCAAAACAATCAATTATGTTTTGAAAACAATTAATTGCGTACCCAAACAATCAATTATGTATTGAGAACAATCGTTTACGTACTGAAATCAAATAATTATCTATCGAAAACAATCAATTATGTATCAAAAAAGTGACGCGGCGTGACACAGGAGTCTCAGAAATTGGGACCTGGAAAATGCCCAGAAGTGGTGCCAGCTCACCCATTTAAATCACAATTCTATGTACATTATGCTCAATTGTGACATATTTATGAAACTCCAGTCCAATAAGATAAGGAGTCAAGTAATAGTGTTAATTAATGCAGTGGCGAATATACCGGGATTAGTTTTTCTTTAATAGAATTAAACATCATCAGATATCGCTAAAAACCGCAATTGAGATGCTCATTTTCCCCATCTAGGCATCGGCATGTAAACCTCTTAAGTAATATTTCCTGCAGTTTGGATTTGATTTATTTTCTCATCATTCTCCTCTTGTAATTGATAATCTTTGATTTATTCAGGTATGGGGACAAGCAGATTCGACTTTTACAATTGAAGAAAGAGAAAAGCACAATCGTGGAGAGATGTGAGAAGAAAATGGCTGGTCGTGTCCAAATGGGACTGCTGGTAAGAGAACCGATCTTATTTTTGTCTCAATCAATGAAATTTTGTTCTTATTTATTTTATTTTTATTTTCAAGAAGGGATCAGGCCAAGAATTACATCTAATGTTTGTGGATCTCCATAAAGTTTTCGATCGTGTGCCATTGATGAAACTTTGGGAAGTCTTGAACAAAAGGGGTTTTAGTGGGGGACTAATTAGTAGGGGACTAATTAGTAGGGGACTAATTGTATTTAAGGAGTCGATCGGATTTTAGGATTCAAAGGATTTGGATAACTTCTTGCTCAAGGGCTGCTTTAAAAAGGGAACTTAGGAGTGAAAAAACATGACTGAGCCTAGAGCAGGGACAGGGTATTTCTCTCCAGTTTCCATGCTGTCAAAACTCCACAATGCTGTACTTACTGAGAGTTTTTTTTTCTTTTTTTAAAGAAACAGAAGGAAGTTACTTGGCTACTAAAACTGTACAGCATTGTGGAGTTTTTACACATGTGGATAAACTTGTTTAATGTAATACTCTCCGAATTGAAAATTATGATACATGAAAGAAATCTATCTGGGATGATAGTTAAGAAACCTTTACTGCCTTTGACTTTTGCTTGAGATTTGTGTGGTCATCTCAAGTGTTCCCAATTTTTAGGATTTTATCTCTTCACCTCCCCCCGTGTACCACGCATATGACAAAACAGCTCATTTGGTTTGGTCATGTACAGAGAATGGCAGGAGGCAGCTTGCCGAAGAAGGTTCTTGATTGGGTTCCTCCCGGGAGAAGGCGCAGGAGGCACCCAATCAGAGGTTGGAGGGCGAGTATTGAAGCAGAAATATTAAAGTGTTCAATTGCTGCAAGGGTTGTGGTTCGACAAAGAGCAGTGGAGGTTAGGTGTCGTAGTGCGCTAGGGAGTGCTATAAAGCGACCCATATGTATGTATCTCTTCACTTGCGCCTTCCAACTTAGCACGTGTCTTTATCAAACGTATTTTAGCAGTCCTAAGCTATTCTAGGTTCAAATGTCTTTTTTCAAAACTCCTGATGCAGATAAATTTCTTTTGCTTAAACTTTAAATGTTTCCCAATGATCTCAAGATTTGTTTCGACAGAATTTAAATCGGTGGAACCTTAACCCATAACCTTTTTTTTTCTTTCTCTCCTCAGGCAGGTCAAATTATTGAAACGAAAGAAAAAATCAAACTTCTGAGGCTCATCATTAAAGAAACTCATGAGAAAATTGGCAAAAGTAAGTTTACTCTACAGTAATTCGGATTATTTATTTTTTCTCTAATTATAACATGTGAAAAGTCTCTTCCAGTTGGACTTTTTGTTCAATTGTCCACACCAAACCTATTTTTATTCATTTATAAAGTTAATAAAGAGAATTGTTTTACCTTGTTGACAAATTAAAGGGTGATCATTTTTAATAAAGAGGGTTCATTTCAAATTGATGATTCTTAAAAACGCACATTTTAGAAGGCACCTAGGCTGTTTTTTGAAAATTAATTAAAAAATAAGTAACAGATTAATCGTTTTTGTCCCTTTTTTGTGCGCAGAGGGAACAAGTCATAAGTCAGCTATAACTCATTTCGCCAAACTTCCGGGAATTCTGCAAAGCGGACGAGGCCTAACACAGTGCAACTAATCAGAACTCAAACACACCGAAACACAGAGCCAACCTGGCCTCCAATGCAATTTTAAAAGTGCAAACAATGATGAGGTGGTAGTTAGTCAATTGGCGCCACCACTGACATCTTATTCATATGATTTCACTTTCCAATTATGTGAGATACTCAGTGATTTTAATGTGTTCTTTGTTGTCCTTGTCCCAAAAAGTATAGAACACTACTGTTTGCAGGGGTATCTCGCCTGGAATAAACTGATTCATTCTAAGAGTAATTCTCTGTTCCTGTTAAATTCTTTAACCTCTGATAGTCCCCTCATTAAATTTTTTTGTTTCAGGGAAGGAGGAATTACATCATCTAGTTGACATGAACAAACAACGAGCTGCGCGTCTTCCAAGGTACGAAGAGCGGGTCAACAAACTTGAAAGTTATGCTCAACAAAAACATCATGAAGCTGTGCAAACTAAAGAAAATGTGGAAAAAGTACGAGTACAATTAAAGCAGACCATTCAGACGAATGTAAAGCAACTTTTTGAGTATATTTTTCCAATAAATGTGATTAAACCGAACAGAAGGTAATTAAATTTTCCTCTCATTTTGAGTAACCGTAACGTTTTTTAGTAGTAATTTTTTTTTAACGTGTTTTAAGGGGCTTGGAGGACAAGGCGCGTAAGTGTAGTTGTTTAAAAAATTGAGATATTCATGAACTCTACTAAAACTAGTCTGAAAGAATATTCCGTGAAAAATTCCTAACTAATATCCAGCTTTAAAGCATCAAAAAGTGAGTGTAAACTTCCTTTCTACCATAAGGCTTCTGTACTTTTGAAACTCTAAACACGTATTTCTTGGAACAGAAAAAACAGCACTTATGCGCATTGTCCTCCAAGCCCCTCATTTGGTCAAATGCATTTTTTTTTTGTTGACAGTTTGGCTGGCAGTAACCCAGTTAATATTTCACTCTTTGTTTCCTTTATTTTCTAACAGTGTAGTTTGTAGTCCTTTGTTGAATTTTGGAAAAAAAGTATACATATATTTTGATTTTATGAAGAAGTTGGTAATGTAGCCAACGTGCACTACAATTCAGTAAACTGAAAATCTGAATACAGAGGGAAAAAGCTCATTCAAGCACAATTTTCCCTCAAAGAGATACATCAGGATGTCCCACTTTGGACCGTAAGAAAAAAAATTGCGAAATTCAACCAGAGATACTTGCCAAAAACTTGTCTCATTGCTAGAAAAAAAATCACAAAAAAATCTCAGGGTCATAGCTAAAGGTTAAGTGGTCCTGCGAGGCACTTAAGTGGTTTTACCGATTTCTCATCTCGGCGATTTTGCAGATTTTTTTTCGATAAATGCAATCGAGCTAGAAAGTTGCAAATGCGGGTAATGAGACTTCCAATACTATATTTTAAGAGAAAAATAACAGTTTGGACCGACGAGGATCAGAAATCTCTCATTCTTAGCTCTCAAAATACAAAAATCAGCAATTTTAGCATTTTGTTGTCAAACCACTGCTCGACTTAAATGTCGCGGCATTTGACTCGTTGTTTCACAATGATCCCATCGGAGGAGCAAAAAGTCCTGCAAGTATGTCCATTAGAGGTGTAAGAGGGCCTCTTTGGCCAGTTTTCGTTGATATTAAACTTTGCGCTCATTGTTTAAATTTTTTTTTTTTTTAGAATTTTCCTGTTTTTCATCATTTTTTAAAATGGTTTAAAAAGGGCGACTCATCTTACACCAGAATTTAACTCCTTTGGCAAACAATGTATGTAGGTGGTCAAATCCTTCCTCTAAAACAGTTTTTGGATTCAAAGCCTCCCAAAAAAGCCGATGTTGCCATATTTTATCGCCTAAAAACACAAAAAACCGAGTACCTATCTCAGTATTCGGAGGCTGTTCCTGGCCAAGCTCATTCAGCAAACCTTGAATTTTCATACATTATGACCAAATTACTAGTGATTATGCACATGTATTTATCTATTGAGCTTCCCACCGCAGCGCGATGTTGCCACATATCATCGGTAAAAGTCGATAAAAATCTGCGTTTCCCTAGATCTGAGCCATTTTGCGGATATTGCACATGGAATACATATGTAAAACTTAAATTGCAGCATTTAGAATCACACATTGTGCCGATATTCATTATTTTAAGATCCTGTGCTTATTGACGACCCATTTGTTACGAATTCTAAGCATGATGTTTGTGCACGAGAATGCGACTGTCAAACATTGACCGTCGAAGACCGTCCAGGCGAATCTCGTGATAAAGTGTCAATTCTTTGTGCCGTAAAAGCGAATCTCGGCATTTCTGCCGTATTTTCTAACAGTTCGAAAAATCTTGTAAATGCTGATGGAGTCTGAAAAAGCATTTTATTCTTGCTATACTCAAAAATTATTACCCTTCTTCTAACAATAAGGAGGAATGTAGGCAGTTTTTTACCCTCCTGGAAAATCATGTTTTCTGAGGTACGCACTTTTGCACTTTCACCATCAATATTCCACTTTCAGGTATCAATAATTCACTTAAAAAGTCAAGTTTCCCTCAGAGCTTTTTTTCATTTTCAAAGAATATATTAACTGTTCAGGCAAAAAGGCAACCAGTGGATTTCCTGTTTTGAATAGCTGAATGGATAACTTAAAACCATGTAAAGCTGACTGATTTTTGCCCGATGTTTTCTTCTGTTCCCATAAGTTTGTCATCAATTATTACCTTCTGATGGTTCTGTGTCAGATGGCAAAGTCGTTAAGACTCAAGGTTCCGGCTGAGGCTCTCAAAAGTGTTCACACTTTCAGGTTAAGTTTTATAAATTGATGGTCTAATTTCCTTTGTACCTGAACTTTTGAAAATGTATTATTCAATTTCCTCTCTTAGGCGCCTTTTTTCTTTTTTTGTAGCAGTTTGATAAGTAACAGTCAAGAGGATGGCTCTGAAAGAGAAACAGTAAGTGCTTTGTTGGAGGCAACCCACACTGCATATGTGCGGGGACGTTGGGTCTACACAGACTGCTCTGGAGAATGGCAACACTCAATTGTGGCGCCCACACTACCAGCATCTGGAGACTATAGTGCCTATAATTTATGGGGTATGATAAGTCAGTTTTTTTGGCAGAACCTTATTTCATAAAAAAATTAACAGTGGAACAACAAATCATCGTCTCGGGCTGCTCCTAAAAATTTGTATCTAAAAAAATTAATCTAGTGGGTAACAAACTGATAGTGATACAGTTGGAACATGATGCTTGGAAGCTGGAGGGAAATAGGAGAAATTGGAGTTTTTAAAATTTCGAGTATATTAAGCAGGTTTCGTGTTAAAACTTTAAGCCATTACAGATTGGTCAGGTTGGTCTGACTAATGATGAACACTGGTTTATAGAAACTTTTTGAGGAACTCTTAAATCACTGCATTTAAATATTGCATTATGTTTGATCGATTAATCATGAACAACCTTTATTGAGTTTTGTTTCATTCCTCCTCAAGTTTGATATATTGCTCGTCAAAATATAATCTCACAAAAATTTCCCTCGGATATTTGTGTATACCATGTTTCATAAGATAAATGAACTTTAAACAAAGAGTATGTGTCTGGTTCCATTTCTCATCCTGTCGTTTTACAATGAAAGAAATATGAAAATGATACGTGTAGCACCTCTTAAAAATATGCTTTTATGTGAAACCTTTTCGTACTGAAGGATTATATCTATTCTAATTCTAAAGATTCTCAATTGTTAACTTTATTTTAATTTACAGTATCTGCAAATAAAGATGGGGTGCCAGGAAGTAACACAGAGGCTGTAGATCATAATCCTGCATACAACATCAGTGCTGCTCTTACCTTCACAACTCAGCTTGTCAATGTGTTAGCATATTTTCTAGATGTGCGACTTCCTTGCAAGTTATCTTACAGGTATATTCAATTATACTATTAATAATTTCGAAAAATTAATTCTCTTGTAGCATTGTCGAGAATGTACTTTTCCTCTCAAACTCCTGAAAGTTCAATGACTCTATGTACCTAATATATTTCTTTATAATGCTATTCCTTTGATAATAATTTTATCTCCTAATTTTCCCTGATTCTATTCTTTTATTACCCCAATGGTTTTTAATAGATGGGATTGTTTGATTAGAAGTTTTTGCCGAAGAGGACATTTAAAAATATGTAACGCCCTATGGAGGAAGGAGGGTCTGAGACTGCATTATGGGGAATGGAAGCGTGCAGGACTGCGTTATGAAACGTTAGAATGAATACGGAGCGCTGATTTTTCATAAATCTAAGACGGCAAGTACATGCAAGTTGATGATTTCTCATCAAAGAGTCGTAGACCTGTTAAAGGTGCGTTACTAGGGGAAGAAGGGAGTCCAAAAATTTGATTTTTAGTGTTACGTATTTGCCAATGATGAGGCTATTGAGAAACAGAGCTTGATGCAAAAACAGCTTTTTCCGCCCTCCCCCGGAATTTCTTCAAACTTTGTCTATTGATTACTCATACTTGAGCGCTTCTTTTCCCGAATTTTTTTTTTTGGGGGGGGGGGCAAGGGCACTAGGGAGGTGAAAGTCAAAACCTGTGAACCTCGATACCTCTCGAATGAATGAAGATATCAACGTCCATTTTGGACGCAAAATCGTCTACAATTGCATTCTTAAAGATTCTAAAAGTCAAAATCACGAAATCACATTTTCAAGTTAACATATGTGCTTTTTTTAGTTTTTGCCTCGAGAAAATTTCAGCTTCGGATGGCCCACCGAGCGCTGACTGGCTGCCTCTTGTTGGGTCTCTAAAGTAGTGCAACGAAGCTGTATTTTTGAAAAAGTGAAATTTTTGGAAATATCTGTTATTTCTGAATTCAGGGACCCTCAAGAATCCTTAAAAATTTATTTTGCATGGTTTGAACATTCAATTTGATTTAATAACACCCAAATCCGGCTTTGGAACCATAGTTTGGTGCGCAAAAATCGGTCGGCGCGCGTAGAGCGGAAACGTCAATCTTCCATAACTCCCGAACTCTTTGGTTCTCCAGCTTGATGAACCACTTGTTGAATGCAGAAAAAGACGAACAATTAAAAAAATTGGTTTTTCTTCAAATAAAAAATTGAGTACCTTGTGTATCTTTTGTTTAAAAGAAATTCTCTGGACTCAAAAACTGCAGAAGAGCAAATATGTTAACTTGAAAATATGATTTCGAGATTTTGACCTTTAGAATCTTAAATTATGCAATTTACACGATTTTTTGTCCAAACCAGACCTCGATACCTTTCTTCGTTCGAGAGATATCGAGGTTCAAGGGTTTTGACTTCCACCTTCCTAGCGCCCCCCCCCCTCCAAAATTTTTTGGGGGTCTGAAAATTTGGGAAAAGAAGCGCTCAAGTATGAGTAATCAATAGACAAAGTTTGAAGAAATTCCAGGGTGGGGGGGGTGGGACGAAAAAAGCCGTTTTTGCATCAAGTTCTTTGTCTCAAATATATGATCGCACAATTATAATGAACTAGTGGCTTTTATGAATTTTTTTTTTTTTTAGAATAACCCCACTGCTTACTTGCTTCTTCCGTACTTCTCAATTCTTTAATCACATTTAGAGTTGTATTTATAGTTGCAATTTTAACTGAAAGGAGCCTCTCACTATATTATTGTACTGCTTACAATCTGAGAAATTCTGAAAGTTGGGGGAACAGTTGGAAAATGACCCTTAATCTTAATTATCTTTTTCAGTGAATTTTGCACCAATGAACTAAGTGAGCAGAAGTTCACGAAAAGAGTAGCTCGCCTGAATGCAAGTGTGCTACATTTATGCTTTTCACAGAATATGAAACCAGAAGTGCTGCATCCAACCCGAACTCTCCACAATATTCTAAATTTCTTGAATGCTGAAGTCTGTGATCTTGGAAGGTACCGTGGCTTTTTTTTCCTAGCCTTATTCCGTTTAGCAAACATAAAAGATCAAAAGATTTCGAATGAAATGTCCATTTTTGTTTTCTTCTTGAAGTTACTGCATGTTAAAAAGACTGAAATTTCTCCTCAAATAACATACAGAAGTTTTCATCAGCAAAAATTCTGTTCAAACGAAAAATGAAACTCTTATAACCAAGACCATGGACAACTGAGTTGAAGTTGAAGTGAGTTTTGTATTTACACATTGTATGTCTATGTCAGCTTGTCATTTTTTTGTTTTAATTATTTCTAGTTCTATCCCAGAATGTTTCTAATGTTCAGGCCAGTTCTTTGCCTAAAAACACCAGGCATGAAAGCTCTACCTAGGGCGGCATGCGTTGTAATTCTAATTCTAACTAGGGGACTACGCCCTGAGGGTGCTTCGCACCCTGTAAGGTATGCTTTGCAGACCTCTTGTGGGTTAATCTACATGAAATAAGACAAAGCTCTAATAAAACAATTTTTTGACGACCTTATCACTGATTGTGGGGTAAAGCGGCTCATTTACTTTTGGTAATTCCTATAGAAAGAGGAGAAGTATGTATATTAAAAAGAAAAATGGTAATTTGAGCTCAGAATTAGAAAGAAAGTCAATAAGAATAATACTTTACCATGAAAAAGAAAACAACTTTGTAATGAGTACTTCACAAATCATTGAAAAATCACTGGAATCACAGAGTAAGTGAACAAAAGAAGAAATCAGAAAAAAAGTTAATTGAGAGCACTGAGAAAAATAACTTACAATGGTCAAAAGTTAAAGTGACATAAAGGCGGGATGGAAATCGCCAAAATCCTGTAGGGAAAGTGGGGGTGGAATAAGAGAAGGGATAGCAGATTGAGTGAGCACAGAATTTGCAGGTAGGGCTAATGCTACATAAAGGAAAAGGATGGAAGGGTTTAGAAGAGGTAGTGAACACACCCAGCGTTAGGTTTCTCGCATTTGGACTTTTGGCGTTAGGGTTACCCAAGCTTACTATTTTATATAGAGCAGAATTTTACTCTAAGTTTTCTGATTAAAATTTTGACTCACTCTCGATTATCTGGCGAGAATATGCATGTGGAACAAATGTAATGGAAGGTCATGGAATATGTTTGTAAATACCTATTTGCAATTTTTCAGGATGATCAAAAGAGAAAGTGTAAATTCCATTTACCCACAACATTCATTCATGTGTAATTTCTCACGTCTTTCTATGCTTCATTTTATTATTCTAGGCAAGGACCAATAGAAGTAGACAAAGGTTTAGCAAATATGTTGGAGGATTTCCTTTGTTCTCGATTGGAAGAATTGACAGATGACATCGATGAATCTGAAGATGATAGTGACCATCTGCCTTACGAGTGGGAAAATGTGAGAATTCTTATTTTTTTTCCAGTTACATATTTACGTGTATGCTTGAATGTATCCCATCATTTGTTCCCAAGGCGATAGAAAAACGCAGCATTAAAAGGACAAACTCCAATGAAAAATAAACCCTCAGATTTTCCTCTCCTTTGATGAGGTTTTGGACCTAAATTTTTTACCGAGGGTTTTGACCTCACTGGACCCCAAAAATGCGACCTAAAACTGCTGGACAAACGAGAATAAAAGACCAACTATTTAGTAGAATGACTTTCACTTGGACAATATTTCAACGGCGAGAAACAGTGGACAAAATAAATCAGACGAAAAAGTTTATGGACACAAAAAATTGAACCAAATGTGGTATGACATCAGAGTGTATTTGAAATGTTGAATGCCAATTTGCCTGGGGGTCGTCAAAATTATTAATTCTTTTCAAGATTGCAGTTGTAAAATAACAAGAAACTTACACTTTTAAGAAAAAATGATTATTTTGGATAGGATTGAGCATTTCCAAAAACTTACCCAAAATTTGTATTTAGCGACCCAAAATACCTGCTGACACCAAGGTTGAAGCAAATATATTAGAAATACTGGAAACATACCGGTCCCGATATTTAAAAAGGCCTGGTATTTTGAAAAAAATAGTGGGTACCAAGATTGAAGCAAATGTTTTTAGGTTGTCAAAAAATTGTTTTTGGCAGTTTGTATACTTCACTGGACTCCATTTTTTAAAGGTGAAAGATAGAAACCTAAACTTTGCATCAAAAGATTTCTTTCCTCATGCCTTTCCCAAAGATAGTTTACAAATTAGAGAATGCATTTTAAGAAAAAAGATCTTGTGTCCATGCTCTCCATTGAAGGAAAGCCTACAGATCACAAAAGATATTCCGATTTGAGTTCAGGAGCTTGATACTAGTCTTAGATGTTATCAGAAACTTATCCTTATAATAATCTCAGAAACAGAAAACGAAAATTTTTCTATTTGAGATTTCCAGGTAGATTCGACCTGGCGTGGACACTCTGAGAGTAGTTGTCAAAAAGCATTTTGTGATCCCATGTTTTTCTTTTTCTCTCCAATTTTATGCCTAATCCTATTTTTGGATGTATTTGTTGACTTTTATCTGAAGTGGTTTCATAGAAACAGCTAAGAGCATGTTTGTAGCAAATCAGGGCCAGTTTGACCCGGCTTGTATATATGAAGGTGATAAAACCTTGAAACCAAGATCAAAAAAAATTTCTAGTCTGAATCTTTCACACATGCAGTTTTTCATCAGTTCTCTACATGTGTGTAACTTGCCGGTGTTAGCCTTCTGAGTTTTTTACCGCACCCAGAGAAAAACTTTGTGTTAGTCTTTTGAGCCTAATGTGGTTTGGAACAAATTGATAACTATTACATTCGTAAGAATTTGTATGCTGTGTTCAGTATTTTAATCACTGAATTCCTGCATTGGAGTAGAAAAAAATTGTGAGAGATTTTGTTGAAAGCTGACCAAAAAAATGTTCATAGCCGGCAGGCAGTTGCATCAAAATATAGAAGCCTGAAAGATTCTGAACTCCCGACCCAATCTCTTCAAAGTTTTGCCCCTATAGGTTTTTCCCAAAAATTTTCTTTTTAAATGAGACTCGATGTACTTGCCCCACTTTATATGTCTTACTGGAAGGTCCCCCTCCTACCTAGCTTTTCATTAGATCTGTCACTTTTTGAATTGGAGGGTACTGCAAGAGTCTTTGTGATTGAATTTTAATTATAAATACTAATGCACCTTTTACCCTTTTTTAGCACACCCCTGCCGCTGAACCTGAAACAATGAATACACCTAAAATTTACAACAACTTATGAATCCTAAAACCCATAATTGAATTGTATTTTGCCGAAAGGAACCAAGAGCATCCCAATGTTGCGAAGAGTGTACAACTTACATTCTTTGCAATATAATTACCAAAATCATGCAAAAAATTAAGTTTGGAAAGGCAATTTTCCTCTTGAATTTGTAGTTTATCGGGAATGGAGATTAAACTTGTTCAGATGATCAGTTTGTTTGCGAGGCAAAAAAAGTTACACAATCTTTGTGACATTGGATTGCACTTGGTTCTTTCATGCGAAATGCAGTCCATTTTGCCTGAAAGTAGTTTTGCAGTATTTTGTTTCATCTCCCAAATTGATCAGCAATATTTTGTTTTCAGGTTGGTCATATAGGCCATGTTGATGCAACAGTTGCCAACAATAACATGCTCACAGGACCTAATACGACAAGTATGGCAGGTGGACTTGTTTCAAGTGCTGCTGCCGGCATTGCATCAATATTCCGAGGCTGGGGTATGACCAATAGATAGCCACCACCAACGATGCTTTAAGTCTCTTGATTTAAAGCATTATTCTAGATGCAACTATAACTCCAATAGGTTTGTTCAACATTCATTCATGCCAAGATTCTAGGACAGAGTTCCGATTCTTGTCATTTTTAATCAGACAAAGAATTTTAAGGATTTTCATGAACATTTTCTTCAAAAGACGTCCATTATCCTCACTCGATAGCTCCTACTCTTTTGTGTTGTCCATTTTGTTAGGCACTACATAATTAAGTGTAATTATGTTCAAAGCTTTTGCATTTTAATGTTGCTGTCTACTAAACCAAAATAACTGTTCTTTGCTAAGTACCTCTAATGCTGCTGTATTTGCCCCCATTTTTAATTTCCAACTAGAAGCCTCCATTTTTCAATCTTAAAATCATTAATAGACTGAAGTGAGTCTCCTGTGTACTTCAGAGTGATGTCAACTTTAATGAAATGTCATAAAAATTTACTAATAACCCAGTTAGACAAAAAATATTTTACAAACATAAAAAATTAGCATTTTCTTATTTATATTTATAAATTTAATATTGTTAATTATTGTCAAATATTTTTAAAATTTGTTGGCTAACTGGGAAGCTGCAGTGAAATTTTAAAGAGTCCCAGAAAACAAGAGAAATTTTTTTTAAGAACCAAAGAAAATTTTAGCAGACTCAGAATTTGATGACAGCAAGGGTCAATAATATTCCCGATCATGCGCAACAATTGTGGAAAGCCCTCGAATTTTTTTTTGCAACGTCTGGCATGGAAATGATGAAATAAGCGTTGATACCAGCATACTTACCACCATTTTAGAATATTCTTCCCACTGGTCGACCGAAAAACCTGACAATTAAAGAAAAAAGGTCATTACTTATTGTGGAAGCACTTTTTCGATTTGCATGGAATAATAGAAAACAGGGAACTTTTTTAAGCGGGATTACCGGTAGAATTTGATCTAAAGATAGCACTGTGTACCCACCATCTTGCATTTGAAAAATTGATGTGACAGTGTGACCCAGGCTAACATGATTTTTCATTGAATTGCTAAGAAAAGATCTGCATTTTATACCCTTTTGCAAAATTTTTTGAGACTGTAACGCAGGCGATTTTCCCATGGTGAAAAAATATGCTCAAATTTTTGGGATCAAAGTTTTCAAAGTTCAGATGAAGTTTGTTCATTCTTTCCATTCTCAACAACCCTAGAAAATTTTGAAGTAGATTTTATCTATTATTGAGTGATTTACATTTAGAGATTAAAAAATTTTGCTGCTATTTTTTCCCAAATTTTGCTGTTATTTTTGCTGATCTTGCGTTTAACAGCTTAAAATAAAGCTTCTAATTTGATTTAGCATGCCATTGCTCAGTCTCTCTCTCTAGTCCTACTTTACAGAAGCACCTTAAGACTGTTTATTTTTTCTTGATAAAAAAATATGCTCACAAACAACTCGGTAATTTCTTTCTTCTGAAAAAGAGCGTGATAAATTTTGTCTTACACGCGTACGTACGTAAATAACACAAAAATGTACGGATTTCGCCGATCGCGCGGATTCCGAGCAATTTCGCGTTAAATCCGGCAAACGGCCGATTTCGCTTCATATTTTCGTGATCAGGGGGTTATGATCGGTGCTTCTGTCTGGTTTCAGATTCTTAAGCACATTTTAAATATTTCACGGCGAATTGCAGGGGCGAAATTTTCCAATCTCTATTTACATCTCACAGTAAATTGAAAATTTAAGTTTTCGAAATCCTACTGTTGCCAAGATGGTTTTGACTTCAATTTTAAACTTTTCCAGGAATTAAAGTATGTACAAGGTTGCATATTTAAGCTCTGAGCTGACAAAGTTCGACTTTTTACAGTTGTTTACCAGTAAGTTCGGCAGTGTTCAATTAAGATTTTTAGAATTTGAAGTCTGAATCTTTTAAAATCTTGAAACTCAGCTGTCAAAGATTTAGCGCAACTATATAATCAAATAATGTAATTTGATTGGAATCTGTGATCTTTTCAAATACTTGAATCTTGTAATCTTTTTAAGTAACACAATTAATAAGTGGCAAAATCAAATCAGTAAAGAGAGGAGAACACTGAAAACGCAAATCATATCGCTCTTCATAATTCGTGCACTAATGATAAAGAATTTCTTTTGGTCCCCCCCCCCCTCTTCTGCAATTAATCTTCTGACAATAGGGTGAAGTAGGGGCATAGATCCCGCATGCAATAGCTGTGGACTAGTTATGCCTAGGTTAGATTTAAAGCTCTTTGTCTTCTTATGGAGAAGCGCATTTCTCTAAATGCGCTTACTCTGTTCTCTCATACCACGGCAGCGGCACGGCAATGTCAGGGACAATTCTGTGAAGCCCCGTCCATTGTCCGAGTCTGTTGAATGCTCTTTTTACTGCCAGGACTATGAAGTGTCGTGATAGCCTAATTGTCTAAGTCGCCATACGGTAATGTCCGCGCGAAGGAATAGGTCAGGGGGGGTTCGAAACTCGTTAATATATGATAATTTTTACTGGTTGTATTGAATATTTTAGACCAATCATCAAAAAATAATTAATACTAGATGATAAATGTACGAACATTTTCTCAAGAGTTAATATGTTAAACAAAAAAACTGGAATATACCTCCTTCATATAATCAGCCACATGTTCACCCAAATTAATGATGTTATTTTCTTTTTTCAATAAAGCTAATTTGCATTCAATGTTCGTAAGTTTAGCAAAAAGTACCTATGTATTGATACAAATAGAAAGACATGAAAATAGTATGTCTAACATTTCAGTTGTTTTTTTTTTTTTTTTTTTTTTTTTTTTTTTTTTTTCAATAAAACATATTGACTTGGACTAGAATCATTGTATCTCTGAAGACAAAAGTTAAGTTTTTTGAAACAGAAATACTAAAACATTCACCCTTCATACAATCAAGGAGATGTTAACCCAAATATTGATATATATTTTCTCTGTTCGCCCAAATTAATGATGGTATTTTCTTTTTTCAATAAAATTAATTTACATTCCACGTTCTCAAAGCAGTATTTTCTCCGAAATTTAGCATAAAATAACAATTTATACCTACGCAAAAAAAAGAAAGCAATGACATGAGAGTAGTATAGTACACATCCAACATTTCAGTTATTTGGCACGCTTTTCCTAACATCTTCATGTTGGACCTATCATCTTTTTTTTCTTCATTTTTTTTCTTCATTTTTTTTAAAAAAAACTAACTCACACTGTTATCAAGAGATTAATTCAGAAAATAACACGTTGTAGTTATCTTTTGTAATTTTGGTTTTCGTTATTTGAGAGTTCAACTGTGATCAGCATGTATAAAATATCTAAGATGAAATTCGTTAGTTGGACTTTACATCATAACATAGACCCTTTAATTTTGCAGATACCACAAGGACACCCAACAAGCACGAATAGTCGTATGAACCCGGCGTTATGAAGGGGCGTTGTTGACCTACTTTATATAAAAAGTGTCTACGTTTTGTGGCCACGTTTAGACAGTGGGTATGAATGAGAGATAAACAAGCAAAACCCAAACAATGAAAACAGCGCTTTACTTTACATTCTTTTGGCTCATAAAGGAGATAAAGAAGAAAAAGTTGGAAGCAAATGACACAGGGTATCGCCGCATTGACTCAAGGAAAAGTAGTTCAAATTAAAAAGTTTACACATATAATTAGAACTTATTTCAGCTAAATACAAACTGACACAAACACGCATCCGAAAAAATTAAATAAGAAAAATGAAGTAGGAAAGAAAGAAAGTCAAGAAAATTCAAATACTTTATGATGAGGTCCAGATTCCTTTCAAAATAAAAAAAATAATGGCTTCCTGCAAATAGCGTCAGACGGAAAATAGTTCGACAAACTTTGAATGGCAATGTACATGCAAAGTCGGAACAGCAATACTAGTAATTAAAAATTAAGACAAATTATTAAAAATACTGCTAGTCCAGCCGTTTGTCTTCCCCTCAGAGGTTCCCCGCGTTTTTGCTTTGACAATAAAGTGGTACCATCAGATCGGAACAGTAAATCAATGAAGCTGGGAAAAATAGGAAAAAATAAATAACTGAAGGAATAAAGAAAATCGCCATCATGCCGCAGAAAAGGAACAACTTCTGCAATTTTATCAGCTATTGGTAAAAGTTATGACTTCTGCTAAATCAACAGCAGATGCCAGTAGGTACCCCTCATAAAAATGGTATGCCCAATGCTAAGTGATTTATCAAACATTTCTCTAGTTCCAATGACGAGTATTGCTATCGCACTGCGGTTGCAGACACCAGTTTGTTTTTTATTGATTTAAAATCTAAGCTAATTGTATAATTAGCTCATTACAGGGCTCTTAATTACAATATTCTATCCTAAACCTAAGGCTTGAATTTTAAATAATTCCAAAATCTTTGTTTTTGGAGTTTCAAGTGAATTCTCTTTCTTGTTGATAAAATATATTAGTCGAAAAAAAGGTCTCAAGTCGGGCAAAAGTTGAACATTGTTATGACAAGGTTCGCCTGCTCCTATCATGCCTTGCCCTTGGCAGCGGTGAGCAACTAGTCTATGATTCAGGACTCTGACTAGCTGCTGGAAGAATTCCATTTTCCTCTTTCATAAGCATGATGATGATGTGAATACCCACTTTATACCCCACACTCCATCCAATTTTTGCTCTAAACATCTTATGCATTTTCCTGTAAATTTGTTTTTCTTCGTAGTTTATTTGGTAGTATTTTGAAAGGAAGGTGTTACAGTTTCATAAATCAAGTCGGTTTTAAAAATAATTTAATTTAATTTTTAAAATTATGCTATGCTTACAAGGTCTGTTAGATTAGAAACCGGATTTTGGTCATAACTAGCCCACAATGCATCCGAATTAGGTTTTCTTCAACTTTCCTGATAGCTGAAAATATATTTAAGAACGCTACGTTCACAAATTTGAAAAATCCTAGTTAGCTTCGTTGGTATGTGGCTTGAAGTAAGGCAACCTCAAGGGCGTTCTGCGATTTTAATCATGCGATCACTGATGGAGCAATAATTTAACATTAAATTTTGTTTTAATCTCGGTATACCTTGTACCGAAACTTTTGATATGCTAAGTAAAGTTTACCAAGATCATTGTATCAGTTGTTCTCTTTGTTTTGAGTGGGTTAAACGATTCAAAACTGATCAGCAGTTTGTCGAAGATGAGGAGCAAGGGAATCGACCATCAACAGCAACTGACATTTGTCATGTGGAAGAAATGCGGGCAAAAGTGCTCGAAAATGGTCGTTTCTGAACAGTGTAATATTTCTGAAGGCTCTGCACATACAATTTTGATAGAATATATAGACATGCATCGAGTTTCAGGCACACTTGCCCCTTGATTGTTGTCTGTTGAACTAAAATCCAACCAAATGTGGATTTCCCTTTAGCTACTTAACCATTCTAACAATGATCCTACATTTTTGGATAGGATAATTTTCGGTGAAAATACTTGAGTGTACGGCTACGATATGGAGACGAAACTCCAATCATCCTTGTGGGTTGAAAATTGTAGTGCAAGACCGAAAAAAGAGAGGCAAGTTCGGTCAAACATAAAAATCGCAGAACACCCATAAGGTTGCCCTACTTCAAGCCACACAGCAATGAAGAACGAAGCTAATTAGGATTTTTCAAATTTGTGAATGTAGCGTTCTTAAGTATATTTTCAGCTATCAGGAAAGTCCAAGAAAACCTAATTTGGACGCATTGTGGGCTAGTTATGACCAAAATCCGGTTTCTAATCTAATAGACCTCGTAAATAGGAAAGCCATTATGTCTTTGATTCAACCCAAAATTTAAAAGACACCTGCAACTATTCATCTTATTTTATATGTGATCCTCTAATTTCTGTACGAATCTTAAATTCAAAAATGCACTACCAAAATTTCCACCAAGTGTTGAAATGAATAACATTCACCTGGATAGTGTTTGTATTAGTATGATGTATGATAATTCCAAAAAAATCCTCACTTAAAATCTAGAGCACTTACTAGGATAAGTAGTGTATCTGTTTGATACTAAATTTTGAGGAAGAATAGCAACGTAAAGTGCAAGCAACTTGAAAGAAGGTAAATGCCGAAGAGATCTTCCATAAAACTTAAATCAATGGAAAACTATTATAATTCCTGTCAAGAACAATTTTTACTTTCTTTCTCCTCTTTTTTGTTTTGTCCTCCCAAGAATTTGTAAAGTAAAATTTATAAATAATGCTGGATCTTATGTGGGTAGGTTTCTATATGTGACAATTATATTTCTTAATCTTAAAGGAGATACTTCTTCTAGTCACATTTAAGAGGAGTGGATCATAAATTCTAAATTCACCTGTCACATTCGAAAAGTTTTGTACGTTATGCATGTATTATACAAATATAATGCAGGATTCTTAGTACCTCCGTACTAAGGAGTACTAAAAGACAAATATAAGAATTTGTTTAAAAATTTAATTTTGAGTTTAGTTTTAATTCCCTATTTAATATATTTGAGGACTTGCATGAAGAGCACCTCTCCTTTGCAGTGTTTAAAACGTCACCAAAAATGTATTTCTTTATGAGGAAAGAACTTAATCATTATGCTGGAGTTTTGTGTTGACATTATCGTTAAATCATGATGAATAGGTATTTAGTTAACTTTTCATCTTACTACGAACTTCTGTTTTCGAGTTCTGAGTAATGATATACTGCTCCCCCCCCCCTCCTCTCTCTCTTTAAATCACATGTACTTAGGTACTATTAACAGTGCGAAAGCTTAATTCAGGTACCTATGTATTTCTTTTTTTTTGTTAGCTAAAGTGCTTCATATTAAGTAATGTTCTGAATAAAAGGTAAACTTATCTAAAACAGGCTCTACATAAGCATTTTTTAGCTATGTCATAATAACCTATCAATACTTGTACCTAACGCTACTTTCATGCCTTTTTGTGAACTGAAGTATCTTCATCTAATTTTGAACGCCGTTGAAAATTATTTCTCAGGCTTTTATAATATGTAAATGAAGAAAATTTTAAGTTAAAATAGTGAAAGGCTTCTATGTGTAGGCACTACAAAACGGATGCTTATTTGTAGTTTAGTGATAAAGTTTTAACTCTAATTTTTCATGTTAAAGTTTTCGCACAGTTACTTGAAAATTTATTTTTAAACTTTTTATTCATCTCACCATTCCTCGAGATAAATTTTAAAAGATAAAATTCTGTAAAATCTCCCAGGATTTTCTTACTAAAACGTCAGCAGTAAGTCATGAGATCTTTTTTCCGAGGTTCCTTGATATATTAATGGTAAAACTAGAAAAATGCATGTCTTTGTTGCAGTGTTTAAAAATTGCCGCTTCTATTTTATTTTTTACCAGAAGACGGAACCAACATCATGACTTTAAATATTCATGGAGTATTCTTCGCTTAGTAAAGAAAAATCATGGTAGTTTTTAAAAACTGCCATTCCGTAATTTTCTATGTAGAAAATAAAGCATGACAGGAAGTCTGCAATGCCGCAAACAGAGATACTCATTTCTCCAGTTTCAGTCTATATCCTGCTTTCACAATGGATGATGGGTTGCAAAATTCAACAGAGCAATTATTAGCGACATCAGTTACCCACTTATTGATTATTGATTAACTTTTTCAAATGAGTCAGTGAGGTTGTCGTCACCACTTTTTTTCCTTTAATAATTTGTTTTTAATTTTGTTTACAAATCAGTGGTGACCTCTTTCTACTTCATCCGATGAAAAGAACTTAGAAATCAATGTTTCAGTGAACAGGTACTTAGGACTAAGGTGTAAAACTAGAAATTGTATGTTGCTACCGAGAAAAGAATTTTGGGGAGCATAATTATCATGAGCAGAATAGTTTTGAACCAAAGAAGTCTGCCATCGGTCATTAAAATGGTTGTCGAACCATAAAGTTTTAGAGATCAATGAACCATTTCTCAACAGAGACCTTGAGAAAGTCCTGCCTAGCCCATAAAAGTATATAAGACTCCATTTCGTTTGGAGATATATTAATCTAAAAGTGTACCTCCCCAGCACATCTTTATTTGTTAGCAAGTCCTTTCAATCGTCACAATTATCCAAAAATGTTTAAATAACTAACACTTCCAATAAAATAAAATAATCTTCATAATAATGGTTGCAAAAAGTATGTTCGCAAAAAAAAAAAAAAATTATCTAGAGTTATGATTTTCCCAGACTATTTTGCCATGAAAATGAGACCACATGGTTTTTCAGTTGAGGATTGTTTCATGTGTTTGGCCAAAAAGATTTATCACTTCCTCTCTCGGTGAATCATTCAACTTCTACAACATCTGCATGATTGTGGTAGTCATAGGTCCGCTTTTTTCACAATATTGTACAAATTAAAATATATTTAACAAGGGAATCGAAAATGGTAGTTTTATAAGAATAGAAGTCATTAGTTTGGACCTTTGACGTCTGTCCAAGAGTGTCGTTTTGTTGTTGAAATTTACAATCCTTCCAAAAAAACAAAAATTAAACTTTTGTACAAAATTCGGCCCAATCAATCCAAAAAATTTCACATACTACCGAAAAAAATAATCAGACACCTAAAAATTATGATGGCAGTACCATTTGGATTCATCATTTCAAAGGAAATGATATCAAATGGCCCAATTTTCTCCTTCATGCCCATGCAACTATATAGGTACACCCCAAAGTTTTTTCACACAAAAAAATTAAATACCTAGTTGAATTCAAATAAGGGTCTAATTCCAGGTTCTTTTTCCTCCCAAATTTTGTTTGTGAATTTTTGGGCAAACCAAACTTTATTTTGACTATCATTAGAGGTGTAAAATTTGGAAATATAGCTCGCCAAGCTTAATAGTCGGGCTTAAACCCGAATTTCCACCGTCAAGTGTATCACTTCCCCAAATTTGCTCTATTTTTGCCTGATTTCCCAAATTTTCAGCTCAGATGTGACATATAAATAATACTTTTAATTGAAAATTGGACACAATTTTCATAAGAGCATCATCGAGCACTAAATTAAAGCACAGTTGAAAAAATGTAACCCTCTCATATCTTACAGATTTAAAAAATGGAGAAATTTTAAAAACAGATTTTAAAAATGGTCATGAAAGCTATCTGAAGCTTATTCTGCTTGTCTTTTAGACAGTTCCGTCTGTTGATCGAAAAGCGCACTGTCTTCCTTCAACACGAGAAGAAGCTTTTATTTCTTGGAATATTGCAGTACAAAATGGATCAGAAACACCGACTTTTAAAACTTCGTGTGGGCGTCTACCCGCTGAAGTGGAGATAAAGCCGGGAAAAGTTTAAAGAATTGAAGTAACATAACAATTACACAATATAATGGTCAACGTTTTTTTTTTTTTTTTTTTTTTTTTTTTTTTTTTTTTTTTTTTTTTTTTTTTTTTTT